AGAGAGAGAGAGAGAGAGAGAGAGAGAGAGAGAGAGAGAGAGAGAGAGAGAGAGAGATGAAATCTATTATTCTTGTTTGGAACAAGTAGTCTTTGAATGGTAAACATTGTTCAAACAGTGCAAATCAAGTAGATCATATAGATCCAGCAAGACAATTGCAGATTAAGCGGAATAAGTGTAGATCAAATAGATCATGCATAAGAGATACATATCAAGTAATTTATTATAAATTATAAATGATAAAAACAGTTCAAAACTACAGATCATATATTAAAACAAGAAATTACACTGAAATATCAAAAAGAGTATCTCAAATGTTGTATGACTAACCAAAATGCATGTGGAATTTTTCATAAAATGTTTTTACGCTAATATTAAATTCTTGGTTGAACTTATCACCGAGAAAATCTCCGCGAGGGGGCGTAAGATCTTTGAAACTGTAATTGGTCATGAAAATTACTTGATCATATAACTCAATAAATACTTGTTCTCGGTTAAGAGTCCATTTAAAAGAAAAATTCTCTCAATAGATTTACAAAATTTCAACAATTTTCCTATATATTAATTATTTAAAACATAAAAATTATTAACTATTTACCGGTGTCGGCATTATGTAGGAAAAATTGTATATTTCTTCTTTGGAAGTTGTTGTGTTTTGTCGGCTATTGAACGTCATGCTTATAAATTTAAAATGACATAAATAGTAATGTTAGTGTGAACTATATAGTTTGAGCTAACCATTGTACATTATTTATAAAATCAAATAAATATATTTTAAATATAAATTTTTGTAACAAAATCATTTATTGGTAAAAAAGATAAAACAATAACCGATCAACACCACCAAATGTTAGCATGTGAGATCTGTATACAGATCTTCTGCTTTTCCACAAAAGGACAAAAATATTGAACTGTATACAAATCTCCCACTTAAATTGTTTTTAACAACAACAAAAAATGAATGATGATTTTATTGTGAGAGAACTTCATGTGCGAGAGAACTACACTTCTCCCTCTACTCCATTCAAAACTTGCTTCGAATGGTGAAAACAGTTTAAGCAGTGCAGATCAGATAGATCAAACAAGACAAGTGCAGATCAAGAAGATAATGCAGGAGAGATATAAATCAAGTGGATTAAATAAATGATAATAAATTATATATGATAAAATCATTTCAAAACTATAGATTATATATTAAAACAATAAAAATTCTACCAAAATATCAAAACAAATATTTCAGATAATGTAACATCGGCCGAAATGCCTGTAGTTTTTTTCATAAGATGGTTATATTACTTCTATTTTCCTTTTAGGTGATCAAGATTTTCTTGGGAGAACTGGTAGGTTACATTGATATTACTCGTTTTCAGTTAAGAGTCTCTTTAAAATAATAGTCTCTCAATAAATTTACAAAATTTCGATAGTTTACCTATATACTAGCCATTTTTTAACAAACAAAATTATTAACTACTTACTCTTGATGATATTTATGTAGGAAGATTTATATATTCTTCATTGGAAAATGTTGTGTTTTGTCGGTAATTGGACGCCATACTTATAATTTAAAAATAACACAAATAGTATTAGTGTTAACTATATAGTTTGAGCTAATCATTGTACATTGTTTACAAAACCTGATAAATATACTATAAAGTTAAATATTTGTAACAAAATTATTTATTAGCAAAAAAAAACAGATCAACACCACCAAATGTTAACGGGTGAGATCGGCATGGAGATTTCTTGTTTTTTCCACAAAAAGACAAAAATATTGAACTGCATACAAATCTTCCGCT